AGTCGACCAGCTCCCCATGAACCCTCTCCCCTGGCAGGCTGACAAATTCGCAGGTGAGCAATCGGGAACTTTTACTTTGAGGAGCATACAATATGCGCCACTAATTTTCAAGTAATTAAAATGCCTTCAAATTACTGCAATCTAAACCCAAACACAAAGACAAACAATCTGCGCTATGTTTGTTGGCTAAAAAAAATAAATTGAGAAGCGACCCCGCATACGGGTATGTCTCGGACTTTCGGTGTCGTGGTCGTGTCACTTGCGTCATGCACTGCACATTGTGGGCACGGTTTGTGCCAAGTTTTCAAATATAAATGAAAGATACATACAATATGCATGTGCACGTGGGGGAGAGGGGAGTACGGCCTGATTGGCCATACAGAGGAAGGCGGCAGCAATTAATGCCGAATAAAATGTAATTATACTGGCCGTTTAAAAATAACCGATTTAATATAATTCAAAATCAGATTCAAAGCTAATTGAAAAGTGGCAGGCCCAAGGGGAAGCCCAGCATCCGTGGGCGTGGCGTTAAAGGGAGGTGTCTGTCGGGACCGAGTTGGGATAATCAGCTACTTACTTGTGCGATGTGTTCCCAAGCATTTGGCAGTAATTGCACGAAATTATATTTTATAATGAGAGCACATTCGCCATCTGTCGAATCAGTTATCATTAATCCATCGAAGGGTTTCTAAAAATGTTTTTAATCCAGGTCATACTACAACAACGAATCAAGTGTGCTTTGATATGTGGTAACAATCTCAAAGATTTCTCGAGGCTTCAATGGTTTTACACTTGGTCGTCTGACCCAATAAATTTGTTGATTTTTTGCCTTGATGATAGCCACCAAAACAATGGACACCATAGCAATTCACATTGAGAGTTTTACCAAAATGAATTTAAAGAAAAACTAGACAGAAATTAATGAAAAATTTAACAAAAATATGCACAGATGTAAATATTCATGTCAAATGCAGTTTTAATCATTTTTCATATAATTCAATACGAGTTTAACATGAATGATCACATTATTACTCGTGTTGGATATTTTTACATATTTTATTTAATCAACTGGAGTCGATCTTGTCTATTAGACCATTACGTTTTGTAAGTGGTCGATCGGTAGATAATAAATATTTATGTAGGAGTCTAACAAAAACGGATTTTGCGTGGATATAAAAGTACGAGTATTATTTTATTAATTTTCAACAGCTGGACTGAAGCGTGAGAATACTTTAAGACTACGAATTGGGAATCCCGAATCTCTCCTTCAAGAATTTCCTTCTGCTGCTATCATTAAAACTAAAAGGTTTTGGGATGCGCTGCAAGAGTTTTCTTCTGTACAACTCCCTTGGCAGCTATTCAGTTGGCTAAGCTTGACTATAGCTATCCCGTTGTGTGTTAATTACCAAGGATGCCCGTATATCTACCTGCCTTATCCCCCCCACTTGCAACCTATTCAAGCAAACATCCAAGGAACCCAGCCACAACACAGCAGGCGGAAGTGCATCTGCGAGGACGACAACGAAAACATTTCATGGCACATTATTTTTATTAATAATTATTTCACATGCGGACCAGACGGGACAGATAGACAGCATCGTTTGTGCATCAATTTTACATGAGCAGTCTGCCCGCCCTGATCCCTCCGTCCTGCGCTGGGGCCGGTCTTCGGGTCGGTCCATGTCCGGACACTGCCAACGACCAACGACCAACGACCAACGTCCAACGAGTTGACGCAAATCGAAAATGCCAAATGTTCGCTCGGTTTGTTGCTCCTCCCCGACTTGCGGTATCATTATTTCACTTTTCCGTTGCCATTCCCGTTGCTGCTGTCTTTTATCTGGTTTTGCTGTTTGCCTGTCAACGGCCACAGAGACAACAGCAACAATATCAGAAAAGCCGCATACTGGGAGCGTATAATTTGTGTCCCCTTGGTATGATTTTTGGCTCTGGGTATTCGGCGTTTCGTTTTTGCACCCGCTACACGTTGTTGCCAAGGGTATACAAGAACTGTATTGGAGTAGGTGGAGGTATACCAGTAAAAATAGTATCCCAAAATAATATCCCATCCAATAGGGTATATCCGATGGTATATCGATAGCTATCAACAGCTATTAAGAGCTGTGTTCCATGCTCAGTCCCCGAAACCTGACATGAGACTTCTAGGATTATTACGAAAAAATGTACAGGTAACTAATGTGACAATACAAAAATAAAAAAAAATAAAAGCAGCGAACAAAACATATTCATTATTTATAAATGAATCATCGTGGCGGGTATCCTATAGTCGGAACACTCGATTATAGACATCTTACTTGCTTCTATTTATTCTGGTTGGGTTCTCGGGTTCGTTCGCTCTATTTTAATAAGCCTTCAGGTGCAGCGGCAAATGAGCCATGAATTATTTGCCTCTCACATAAATAATTGTAATTTCGGGTTTCTTTTCGTTTAAAAATAAACCCAAGTTTTTGGCTCGAACTATGTGGTGAAAAATCAAGCATCAGCAGCCCTTGAACGCTTATGTAAGTGGACCTTGGAAAGGTTAAAAGTGCCTGGGATTGGTACTAGATGTTAGGTAAAGCCTCTGAAAAGGAGTAAAGAAAATGTTTTGCTTTGGGCTCTTTTGCAAAGCTCAGTGTTTTTTGGGATGAGCAACCTCCCAGTGTGTATTCTAATGGAGTTAATCCGAGACCCTTATCACCAATCCTGTTATTCGCGTTTCCCCCTCTATTCTCGTTCATATGTATATTCCTACTTTGCATCATCCTCATCAGCATCGTAACATCTTCGTTCCCTTAAACCGCCAATGGCTGAGATAAATCATGGAAAACCAATTCCCTATTTCGTGGAATGGTAAGAGGACTCTCAGCTTTAAGCCCAGCGCCGAAGCCACTCCGAATCCTGCCAAAGAATTAGGGTAATCGCTGCTCGGGGTATCACTATGGCCCCTCCCGTGCCCACCTCCATCTTCCCAGTGACCTGACAGAATGTCTGACAGTTCTAACCCGATTCTGTGTGCTCTGATTTGGACGACCTTATCGACTAAAAGTTTGTCCTTCCTTCCCTTCGGTTGACATTTTCAGCAGGAATATTTTTGTTTTGTTCTTTCCGTTTCAGCTGCTGGCAGACCTGAAGAAAAAACCACAGAAAATGCAGAGCAAGGGAACTGGCTGAGGCGGCTTCTTATACACGCAGAGAAAACTTAGTTGGGCAAAGAGTGTGAAAGGTGTTTTAATCTCCCTCCTCTCTCTGGGTAACTCGAGGTAAACCGTGTGTCATCTCAACCTCATCTTACCCTAACTATGTATTATCCCTTTTTACTCAGTTACATCTAAGCAACATGCGATTGGATACCATCCTTGGTGTTCAGTTTTCAATCAAATATCATCCGTCGGCGTCTATTTAATTTCTTCCCTATATTTTCTTTCAGTGTCGATTCAATTTTATCAGTCGTTAGGCCAACGCTTTCGCTTTTTTAGGTTCTTCTCTTTGAACATTTTTGTTGGTGCTTTTGCTTTTGTTTTGTAGTAAAAAGTAACAGAAATCTGACAACATTTTTCTGCGTTTTGTGTTTTGTTTTCAGAAGCGTTGAATAAAAAGAAAATAAATAAAAATAAGACACACTCACATACACAGCCATACACAGATACATACGAATACATATGTACTTGCGTATTAATATAAATAAAGAAAAGACAAAAGTAAAAGAGCCGCAGCGACGCAACCGCTCCGTCCTCCCTCTCCAGAATAGATTTCCAGTTCTCTGTCCCACCCTTACCCCCATTCACTTTTCCCGCCTGTTTGTCTGGCCAGTCTTCTGCGCTGCTCTGGCTCTCTGTCGGCGTTGGTGCTCTGGCCTTTATTGTTTTCTGTTTTCCACGACCACCAGCCTCTCCACACCCGTCTGGCTACCTTCTTTTTTATGAATGAATCTGAATTTCGCCAGCGGCATTCGATAAAAGGAAAAAAGAAAAGCAAACATAAAAATCAAAAACAAATAGAAAAGCAACAACAGCCCCAAGAAGAAGACAGAAATGAAGACGCGTGAAATGTGAAAATGGAAAATCATTTATACGCAAAAAACACAACGAGAGTGAAAGAGAGAGCGAGTCCGGGTGACCGAGAAAAAGAAACATTAACACGTCAAATCGCCCGCGCGACTTGACGCCCCCAACCCTCCCACCAGTGGTGTCCTTTCTCATAGTTTTCGTCTAGCAACCTTTTCCAAATGGCAGGACAGGAGTTTCCCAGAGAGGGAAATAAGAGTTGGAAGTGGCAAGAGGAGAAACATTATACCACCTATGACAACAGTTTCCAACTTCTAAACCACAAAATATGTCTAAGGGAACTAACAGCTTTTCGGGGACAGCATCTGGTATGCCTCTTGACATTTAATTGATTGTTTAAAAACTTAATCTTATCTCGTACATAGCTTGGTACATGAAGTGTTCGATACATTATATGACTTCTATCTCCTCTCATTATCTGTAACTGTCTGTAACGGGGAGTAGCTTTTTTTTAACGCTAAGACACAGTTGCTAGTTATATTAAGTTTTTCTATATTGCTGATCGCAGATGGCCGTTACCTTGTTTGTAAGTAGGCTATAGTTTCCTAGAGGTAGTGCATAGGGTTTGAAGAGAAAATGATTACAACTCAACTTAGTTCACTCAACTCACGATTGGTGGTACTTCGAGCCAGATTCATTATTGATGTGGTGAATGGAAGTCACATCCACACTACATATATTTCTGATGACCTTTTTACGAGTACTCCCACACTAAACATGGTTAAATATATGGTTGAACTCTTTCCAAATTATTATTCAGAGTTCTTTGCACTAACTACTATCTATGTACATATGTATGTATATATACTCATACTACTTCTAACTAGTTCGAAGTTGAGGTTCGAGGTTCGAGGTTGAGAACGAACGTGTTCGAACGTATTTTTCGGCAGAGAAGCTTTTTTCGCTCAATTTCAATTTCAGTCGTTGCTCATACGCAACGTTGGCCGAGTGAAAAGTGGAAAATACAGCTTTTTCCCGTTTTCCATTGGCGGCTTGAGTTTCGTCATTTGTTGTTGCTTTCGGGGCGCGTGTGCTTGGAAAATATGGTGCGTGGTTTCAAAAATAGTGAAGAAAAATATAAACGATTGCCTGCAAACAAAAAATAAAAAAAATGTAAATAATCTTTCAGAGAGTATCTTGAAGGAGTGATTGTGCTATTTGTTGAGTATTAAATACATTAAACAACACTAAAACCTAGAACAAACATATCGCTATCGCTGAAGAGATCCCAAACATTTAGGAGTCTGGTTTGTGTCCGCACTCAAGCGCTTTAATGGCCCAGCCGAGAAAATATTTACAATTTTTCAACGTAAGCATTTCGAATGTTTTGTGTATTGAGATCTGTATATTCTGTAAGCTATGTAAAAACAATATGTTGAAGTTCATAAATTGTTGGTCCATTTATTGTCTGCATTTTGATTTGTTTGTGGAACATTTCGACATGTTAACAATCGTTTTGCTTGGGACCTGAGAAATGTGTTGGAGGAAATTGGAATTTAGAATATTTGTCATGATAAGTTTCCACTTATCTCATGGCACCAAAGGCCGTTCCGTTATCAATATCAGTAAAGCATAATTTAACTTATCTAACTGCAGCTGACTTTTAGTGAAGCCGTGCGTAAGGCCACCGTTTGGCATTACTTCGAAGTTAAAATAAATATTACCTTTTCGAGCACTTTTCAGTTGCTGGCAGCAGGAACAAGTCCGCTTTTGTTTTGTCCAACAATTTTTCAGAGGGGTCAATTCATTTCATTGTAGCTTCTGTCTTTTAGCTATGTTTAATATTTCCGAAAGATTGCATCCGATACTTTGTCGACTAAAGCTGGGAGATTGCATTGACGCAGAGCCGTACTACGGGTAATTATGTATATACATACATATATGTATGTGTGAGTAGTTTTCCTCCTACTAAAATAAATTTGGTAAAAAAAATTGTTAGAAGTTCAATTGCCGTATAAAAAAACAAACAAAGGAAGAGTAAATATTTAAACACACAGATAAAATAAAAAAAGACAGGGATGATAAGTTACTAAAAGAAAGTTTCTTTCATACATTTTATTATTGCTTCTTTGCTAAACACAAGTCTTCCATATGAAGTTTATAGACAGAGAGAGCTGCAGAAGGTCTGGAATGGATAAATTACGAATCAACCAATACGGTTGCGTAACATGCAATTCGCATTGCAAAATGCTTCTATTATTTTGCATTTCTCATAAATACTCGTAGCTTTGAATAATTGAAAAAAAACTTCAATCTTATGGAAATTTTCGGACAATTGGGGATTATGTAAGATAACCTTTCTGAAACCTTTTATCCAGTCCGTGCCCTCCGATTGCCATACATAAACAATTACTTAGATTTTCAGCAGAAATTATTCGCTTATCCGTACACATAAACGAGTATGTATGTATATACATTTTACATACCTCGAGAACATTCAGGGTTCAATTGAGCTTGGACCCACCTCACAAATCCCCACTCATTCCCGGATTCCACTTCGCATTTGGACTGCCAGATCTCGATTCCATTTGTCAATCGCTTTCAATTACATTTAATTTACGCTCAATGATTTGCAGGCATTTTCCATTCGGTCAACTAAGACCTGCCCCTCATGCTGCGGCTTTCCTGCGGTTTTCCCTCACTTTTTCGTGGTCCCTTCTTCGGCTGCTTGTTTGTTTTCTCCTGAGCTCCTGAGTTTTGGCCACTGTTTAAAGTTTTCTTGCTGCTTTCGCTTCAGTCCCGTCCCAGTTATATGGGCTAATTAAAGCCAAACGTCGCATTAAATTTTGCTGTGCCATAAAAGCGGAAAGAGCAGAGGAGCCACCATTTTTTATTTATTTAGTTTAAAGTTCAGGCAAGGCATAAAAATGTCTGTTGATGATGACAAGCACACTTGAAAGAGATTTATGGCCCCGATTCATTGCTGGACTAAAGAAGACGTCTCGCAAATGAACTTTGATTGAGTGAGGGGACGCAATAGGTGGGAGGAGGTATTATGTCCTCTCAGGATGCCGAATAATTGGCCGCTGCACGTGTTCAACTGTCTTTTCTGTGTATCTTTTCTGTACTTTTCCTGTACTCTTCCCCGCCGCTTTCCTCTCTTCTCATCTGCTTCCGATTCTCATCTGCAAATGGCACTAATGTCAGCCTGATGAGTATTAATTGAGTACAGACGCACACAGGGACAGGCATAGGCACACTCCCTCGCACCCACACCTACCCACGGATCTACAGCTTTGGGGGCTATAAATCTAACCGGCACCCCCACAGAAACACATGGCTAAGTCCCCGCCGATGTCACCCTCGCCGAAACAGACTCACACTTGGAAACGGACACACACACAGCCATAGACACAGACGCAGGCACGGCATGCGGCAAGCGGAATACGGCTGGTCCCATGCCGAAAACTTGTGCCTGTCGTCTTTTGAATGCACTGTGAAAAGTGAGGGGACAGATTAGAGGTACAATTCGCGATTATTCACATTTTTGGGGTGAGAGTTAGGTGCATTGAGACCACATGGATATTTTCCGCCGCACAGTGGGACGTCAGCCGAACAGAGGAGGCAAAAGTCAGTGAGAAATTTGGATAATATGGAAATAGTACGCTACTAATGGAGAATTTTCAAGACCATTCAATAATCCAAACTACCTACATACTCGTATAAGAGCATTCAGAGATAATAAGTGTGTAAAATTGTATTCAACTTTTATTCACACTTAAAAATAAACTATGAAACGTATGATTCTGATTTGGGTACACTTTATTAAGTCTCTTCATGGTTATAAATACTCAATCGATAATCAATACTCCAGATTGATTTAAGTGACGTAACACCGAAAAACGGCCAAAATAGGGCTGTCCATGCAAACAGGTGTACACATCCTTAGGCTGAGTCAATTAAATCGCTTTTGAAAACAAACCCCACCGCATCGCAGAATGAGCTTCTAAATTAAGGTAAAGGAATATTAATAACACATATTTTAAATAAATATAGGGTATATTCAAGAATGTATTAAAGTCAAGTTGAAAATTAATTCAAAAATTTGAATGCATCCATATATGTATAGTATTTTATCCATTAGACACGTGAGATCCCATTTGCCATTAATATTCCAATTTTTGTTTATTCAAACGTTCTTTGTTGATCCACAAAAATAAAAAGGTATCATTTTACATATGCAAATATGCAGAAGCTATTGTAAAGCTTCTAGACATCGTAGCACCATGGCCGATTATCCCACTGTGCGCCGTTTACCTGATTACTTGCTCCACTCGTACCATCCTATCGCTACTAGGCCAGATACATCTGGTACCCTATAAATCGTCCTGGATCAATCACCCACAATAATACCTCTAAAGTTGCTTACTGCCTTCAATCTGATGCCTACATAAAGTTCCGCTGTAATTCAAGATAAAGATAGTGTACAGATTAAGCAGCCCGAAACTATACAAAGCTGTTCGGGCAAAAGAACTACACGAGATGAAGTAACAAGATTGCGCTAACATTTGATAAGTGTTTCCTTTTCGCCTCCTTTTGATCGGGGCTCTAATTTACAACAACTGCGAGTGAAAAGCAGAAAAAAAGAGCTGACTCTGAGTAACATCCGTGAGGTTATAGTTGCCATTTTGGTGAGTTGCTAGCCCAGCTTTGGCAGTCAGAAACCAAAATGAATTTGAGCTGCAAATTGAAGTGGATGCAAACTTTGACAAGAACATGAAAAAGAAGCCCTTTTATCCATCGGCTTGCTTTGGTTTCATTTCAATTTTCCGAGAATTTCTCCCCATGCATTCCCCTGCCTTAGGGCCTGACGTCTGATGGTTTCGTGACTTGTGTTGACCATGTGAGCTCTTTGTGTGCCTCCGCGGGAGGTGCGCAGTGTATGGGGGGTTGCCCGTCCTGTTCCTCCATCAGACACGGGGCCTGGGGCAATCCCCAGATCCCACCCTCCCTCAATATCACTTGGGTCTAGACAATTATTGCAACCGAGACGCACCTACACATAGGCCCCCTGGCTTTGTTATCGCCATGTGCCCTGCTCGCACATGTGTCTCGAATATTAGTGGCAGTAACTGTGTTTAAACAGTTGGCGTCAAAATTATAATTAAAACGTGCATCAAAGTCATACACGGCCGCACAGCATGTCACAATTTGTTGTTGCTGCGGCCTCTACCACGCCTATTGTTGTTACTGCTTACAAAACATTTTTGATTTATCGGCAAAGTCAGCTATCATCCATGCCTCTGCCTCTGCCTCCGCCCCTGTCCCTGGCTGCTAAGGGGCAGGGCACTTGACGGCGCGTCCTTGTAACTTAATTGAATTTTTATTGCCAAGTTTGCATAATGTGAGCCGTATCGGGTCCGGAGAGTGTTTGGGGAAAGGCATCTACGCGGGCATCCTCCGTTATTGCTGCTCGTCGGTCTGATGCGGCGTATACGTAATCAACGAGAATTGCGCATACGCAGCGTCAGCTCAAAAAATAAACCCATTAAGCGGCGATAAGTAACTGCAGCAGAATTGCACCGCAAATGCAGTGGCAGGCACAGGGGTGCCATGGAAGGAACAGTCGCCGCCTGACAGGGCACATAATAATCGGCTAACGAACGAACTAACTCTTTCTATTTCTGCTGCAGCTAAAGTCCTGCAGTCCTGATTTTGCGATAAGCCTAGGCACGGCTCTGTGGTTTTATTTTCTGTGGTCGCCCCTTCTGCACTCATGCAGCCGGGTGTCATGGTGGTCGAGGGGTGATTTGGGCGGCAATGACATGTGTGCTTGGTGACATTTGTGTGGGAATGAGAAGGCTTAGGTGATCGATAATTAATTATCCCTCTCTAAATTTAGCCAAACTAAGCCAAATAACAAAGCGGTCAATTAATATCGCTCCTTAAGAGGTATTTTGAGTATTTTGTTCACCTTTAAAATGTTTCCTAGGTTTTCTGGGCTTTATATTTGCATAAAAAATTTTTTGATTGAGTAAAATCCAATATGATATTTAGAATTGCTTATTTCTTTCCCTATTTTTATGCTTAAATAATGCTACACACCATTAAGTTCCGGGAGGAGGAGTTCAAGACCAAGCTTAAGCTACTCAAGCGGCTCTGCATGTGCTTCAGTCAGTCAGTCAGTCGGTGGGTCAGTCTGTCCGTCAGTTAGCTAATCTATCAGTCAGTTTGGTATATGTCAGCTGCCCTGTCGCTCAGTGGCCCCCCGAGTGCCCTTTGCTAAAAAGTTGCATGCGTCAAGCTGATTTTTCATTCATTGCAGCTTGGGGCATTCTGTTTTTGCTGTTTTTGCTTTTTTTTGCTGTT